TCATCCAAACCCTCCTGGAGCTCTGGCAGCCTTGGGGCCGTGCCCACTGCCCTGGGGAGCCTGGGCAGTGCCAACCACCCTCTGGGGGAAGAACTTTTCCCTGAGATCCAACCTGAGCCTGCCCTGTCCCAGCTCCAGCCCTTCCCTGGGTCCTGTCCCTGCTCACAGAGAGAACAAATGGATGATGATGATGATTTGCACCCACAGCTGGTGGTGACCAGTTGCTTTGTGGTCCAGCTCACTTGTTTTTACATGAGGTTTAGTCACTACTCAAATTCTGTAAGAAAGAAAAGTAAATATTTGTGGTTATGACTGACTGCTGTAATTATTATTATTGTTGTTGTTGTTGTTGTTGTTATTATTATTATCATTATCATTATCATTATTATTTTATTCTTAGTACCATGTTTCTAGCTCCAGAAAAAGAAACTGGTGCCAAACAGTGCATAAATGACAATATTTATAACTTTACACTGACACTCATTCCCAGTATCATCCAGTATTATCAGAAGTAAGTGAGAATAATTGCTATAGTGGGGGGAAATCAGCCTTGTCCATGTAAAGCCCTGATATTTGCAGATAATGTTGCTTTTCATGTAGATTTGGATCTTGATTAAAGATTCAGCTGCTGGTTGTAATTACCACAATCAGCCAGTTTCCAGGGGTTACAAAGCAGAGCAGCTGAACCCATCACTTGTTTCCACTCACCTCTTTATCCCAGAATCCCAGAAGGCTTTAGGTTGGGAAGGATCTTAAAGCCCATCTTATCCCACCCCATGCCATGGGGAAGGGACCACCAGGAAATTTGGGATAATCTGCACCTCGAGCGATCAGATTTTTTTTTTCTTTGTGCTAATTTTGTTTTTGCTTTGTTTTCCAGCTCCAGTGAATCCTCACCTACGTGAGTATTTATTCATTTACCTTTTTGTCTTTTGTGTGTGTGAAGAGCTGTCCTTGCATTTGTTGTCCCTCGCAGTAAAAAAGTAAATTATAAGTATTTCCCTTTCCATTGCATCCCACATCCTCTTTCCCAGCATATTCTACCAAGAGTCTTCATTTTAATAAGCCAAAACGTGCCAAAATTTTATTTACTTATGTATTATTTATTAATTTCTTGTGAAAGTTTTGATTTTAATACACCAAAAATATTCCTGCTTGGGAAATGGGGGGCAGTCTCCCAAAAATATTCTTGCTGGGAAGTGGGGCTCAGTCACCCAAAAATATTCCTGCTTAGAAAATGGGGCTCAGTCTCCCAAAAATATTCCTGCTGGGAAATGGGGCTCAGTCTCCCAAAAATATTCCTGCTTGGGAAATGGGGATGAGTCTCCCAAAAATATTCCTGCTGGGAAATGGGGGTCGGTCTCCGAAAAAATAGTCCTGCTTGGGAAATGGGGGTTCAGTCTCCCCAAAAATAGTCCTGCTTGGGAAATGGGGGTTCAGTCTCCCCAAAAATAGTCCTGCT